ACGTGACTTCCCATTTCCCATCATGTGGCAAGAACATCCGTTGTCGAAGTACCATATGTCTTCTCTATTTGAACTTGTGGTGTGAAAAGAAACATGACATACAAAGTCACTTTTCCTCACCCATATTTGTTTTATGAATGGTGTGATGTTTTTCCTGGCAAGCTTCTCAACTCGTTGATCCTTGTAGATGTAGAAACATTCAGGTCTTGTATGTCCTCGTACCCTGCAATAATGGCAAATAGGATTATAGATTCTATACTTTGATCTTAACCGTTTTGATGAATTATATTTTGTCCTTTCGTCTAGATTAAGTTCAGGTGCTGGGCCAGGCTTCCTGCTTGCAGTACTGGACTTGGGAACGTCAGGACAAGTGTCAGGAGGAGACCCAGGGGTTGGGTCAGAAGATGAGGCTGGCACAAATACTATTATAGATTTTTCTTTTCCTCCTGTGAACCGCAAGCCATATTTTGTAGATATTTACCTTCCAGAATATAGGATTTTATCGAGTGTTGAGGTGTTGTCCATCATCTTGATTCTTCGTTTAAGAGTATCTAACTCTCGTTTGAGACCTTCTTCTCTCTTGAGACCATCTTGGATATAGATATCTTTGTCAGCAATTTGGTTTAGATACACTTTCCTTGCATTTTCTAAATTGCTAAGCTGACTAGACAAAGATCTATTTATTTTTACAAGAGCTTCCCATCTAGCATACAATTTTTTAAATTCTTCTTCAAAAGAGGGTGGTGGCAGATCGTGATCTTCTGCTGATGAATAGGCTCCAACTTCAGAATTTGCTTCAGCTTCTCCATCCAAGGTGGAAATCGTAGTAAAGGCCATGAAATTTCCTGCAAAACCTTCTGGATTAGACCCAGGATTGTCTTGCTTCGGTTCATCATCATCACTCCAGGTTAGCGTTGCTGCCATGGACTTCTTGCGTCGAAGATATGTTGGACACTCAGCTTGAACGTGACCATACCCTTCGCACTCGTAACATCTAATACCTTTTCCACTGGACTTGTCTATGGATTGCGTGCTGCGTGATGCAAACGGCCTGGAATTTGGAGTTGACGAGCTGGATCTTTGGTTGTTTTGTGACACACTCGGTCCTGAACTCCGTTGAGTTTGAAACTTGCCGCCCTTTGAATTTTGCTTTTGTTTAACCTGTTTCAATAGCTTAGAAAAACCTTTTGTCAGAAAGACTACCGGATCATCACTTACCTCGTCTGGATCATATCCAGCATCTGTATCTTCAGCTGTGAAAGCTACAACTTTTTCCTTTGAAGGATAACTGGACAGTATTTCCATCTCGTAAGTTTGCAGGCTTCCCATTAGTTGATGAATAGTTTTGTTTTCCCAACCGTCATGCTCTTGAGTGGCAGTGACCTTCATCTTGAAACGAGAAGGAAGAGAGCGCAAAATCTTTTTAACCAGTCTAGATTGATCAAATGGCTCACCTAGGACAATACCACGGTTTACCAATTCTTGAACACGCGCATGAAACTCGACAATCGATTCATCTTCTTTCATTTTTAGATCTTCAAAGTCGGTTTGAACCATTTGGAGCTTGGACTGTTTGACCGAGTTAGTTCCTTCATAGGTAGTTTCCAAATTCTCCCACGCATCTTTGGCAGAGTCACAACCTGCAATAAGTGTAAACTGACTCTCATGCATTAGGGAATAGATAATATCTAGCGCTTTATTGTTGTAATTCGCAGTGGTCATCTCAGCATCTGTCCATTCTATTTCTGGTTTGAGAACTGGAGGGGCTCCTGTAGTGGCTCCATCTTTGGTAGGATAAGTCCACCCAGTGAGAACTGCCCTCCAGATCATCTCCCTATGAGCGCGTAAATGCATCTTGGTGCGAGCCTTCCAGTATGCATAGTTGTCACCTGTCAATTCAGGAGGTGCTCTATGTCATTCCATTCTGTAAGACTCAATGCACAGTAAGCCCAAGAAGATTGACCAGAAAAATAAAGTAAGAACCAAACACTGAGATCTTGAGTTCAAAAAACACGAGTAAGCCAGATCGGTTAGACTAATATTGTGACGCCCCGTAATCCAAATTCGATTAAGGGATTAATTAAGTAATTAATCCTAATTCAATTGGTAATTTAATTCCTTAAATTCCTGAAAATTCAATAGTCGGGGACTAGTAATTGACTAGTCAACCCAAAGACAAAAGTTGTACCTAAAGCTTTGTGAGTTGTTCCCTTACACATTTCATCTTAGTAAGGGTAAATAAGACATTTCCTTGGCAATAGTCTTTCAAGCTAACCTAGGAAGACACATTTCATTTCTTCAAACACTCTCCAAGAGAAAAATCATAAGCTCTCTCTCTTCTCTCTAAAAGCTAGTTAGCTTTCTTTCCAAGCCACACCTAGGGCTATCAAGATCTTTCAAGTTTGCCTTCAAGATTCTACCTTTCATACTTTTGAGCATCTAGAAGGGTAAGATCTAAGCTCCTCTTGTATTTTTAGTGTTTTCTAAGGCATCTTTTTATAAAGGTGAAATTTTTATGTTGTTTTGGTGTGTTCTTGAAGTGGGTGTGGAAAGGGAACCTTGTTGAGAGCTTTCTGAAGTGTTTAAAGTGAAAGTTGAGTCTTCAAGAGGTAACCCATGCTCTACAAAATCTATTTTGCTTACCTATTTGATGATTCTTGGATTCTACATGTGATTTTGCTATGAAATGTGAGTGTTTATGCATTGTCTTATGAAAATGCATATCTAGAGCTTGTTATTAGGGTTCATGTATGTCATTGCTTGGCTATTCCTTTGATTCAAGTCATTTTGTTGTATTTGGTGAGATTTGGCATGTTTTGGACTTGAATTTGAGCTTGGTGTTGAAAATCCCTGAAGGGATATTTTGGTACAGGTTGGTGTACCCGCGGGCGGAACGGCGGGCAGTGGCCTACCCGCCGCCCCACCCGCGGGGAACGTGGTTTGGTGGGTGTGTACCCACGGGCGGAACCACGGGTGGGGGTCCACCCATGGGCCCACCCGCGGGGTACATATGTTGGCTTGGCGGGGATTTGTTCCCCGTGATTCTTTTGACTCGGTATTTGGTCTTTTGACTTCCCGATGTTCTTTTGTGGAACTATTTGAGCATCTTCTTGGTGTTTCGTATGTCTAGAACTATATGGTAGGGATCCATGTAGGTTTTGGTGTCTTGAATCGTGCTAAGTGTTCAACATTGTGTTTCGTTGAACCGTGATGAGTCCTGTGTGTTCCTCGGAACTACTTTCGGTTTACCCGTTTGATGAGCATGCTAGTTCGGTGTTTAAATGCTAGCGTGTGTGTTGTTTGTACCTTTTTATTGGTTGATGATAACTTGTGTTATTCATCGTTGTGGTTGTTGGGCTGTGACCCATTCCTTGATTGAGTATGGTTTCATATCTTCGTTGTGATCCGTTGATTGATTCCTGTTGAGGTGTGATGTGTGTGTGGCTTTACCTGGATTGCACGATTAGTGGTATGGGACACTAGTCACCAAGGTACGGCAGTGGTCCTCGTGGAATCCATGACATGATTATGGAGGTTGTGACCTTTGTGTAAGGTTCATGTATTTATTTCTTGTTCGCCCTTCCTTAGTTGTCGTTATCTTCTTAGTTGTTGTTTCCGTTGGTAGTTGTTTGTTGCTTGCCTTGTGTGCTTGTTCTTGTTTGTTTGTTTTGTTGAGTAGTTAGTTTTGTGGTTGATGCTTTGAAGTAACCGTTAGTTCGTAGTTGTTGGCTAGAAGTTGGTGGTTGTGTTTGGTATAGAGTTTGATATGCTCAATATATCCGTTGGTTAAAATTTCTTTAAATCCTTGTTTTGATATACTTTCTTGCTTGCTTTGAGGTCTTGCAAATCCTTTGAGTTTGACCAAAAGCGATTATTCTTGGCACTCTTGTCACATAATTGTTTCGTTTCACCGTTTGCTTAATTCGTCGTACCCAAGCTTCGGGGACGAAGCTTCTTTGAAGGGGGAGAGGATGTGACACCCCGTAATCCAAATTCAATTAAGGGATTAATTAAGCAATTAATCCTAAACCAATTGGTAATCTAATTCCTTAAATTCTTGAAAATTCAATAGTCGGGGACTAGTAATTGACTCGTCAACCCCAAAGTCAAGGTTGTACCTTAAGCTTTATAAGGAGTTCCCTTGTTCCCTTACACCTCTTTATGTTAGTAAGGGTATTCATGACTTTTCACCTTGTGTTAGTAATGCAAGCTAACCTAGTAGACAATCCTCATTTCTCTCCTTACACTTTCCAAACTTTAGCTCTACCTTCTCTCTAAAAAGGTAGATAGCTTTTCTTCCAAGCCAAGTTGAAGCTTTGTCAAATCTTCAAGAGTTGTCTCCAAGATTCTACCTTTCATACATTTGGGCATCTAGGAGGGTAAGATCTAATTTCATCTTGTGTTTTTAGTGTCTTCTAAGGTGTCTTTTCTTAAAGATAGAATCTTTATGATCTTTTTGGTGTGTTCTTGAAGTGGGTTTGGAAGGTGAGCTTTATTAGGAGCTTGGTGAGGTGTTAAGTGAAGGTTTTTGGTTTACAAGAGGTAACCCATGCTTTACAAAATCTATTTTGCTTACCTATATGATGATTCTTGGATTCTACATGTGTTTTTCTATGAAATGTGAGTGTTTATGCATTGTCTTGTGAAAATGCATATCTAGCCAAGGGAGGATAAATTAAGGCTAAGAGGTAACACATGTCCCGACAAAACCTATTTTCCTTGCTATGTCTTATTCATTGGCTCCTTTTGTTAGCATATATTATTTTGTCTTGTTATCTTTGTATAATATATAGTTTATATTATGTGGTAGATTTATTAGATTGTTACATCTGTTCTATTAGTCAGGGTTTGTTAGAGTCCTTGTAGACATATACTTTGTATTCTTATGAGAAACAGTTATCGAATGAAAGCTATTCTCTAATCTGGTTTCAGCCGGGATATCGATCTTTCATCAATCTCCACCGTAAATTTCCCCCCCTTTTCCCGTACAAATCATCGGAATGTCTACCAATTCTTCCGAACGTACAGTCTCCGCTGCCGGCTCTCCGTCTCCGGCCGGCGGACCCTCTCTCGCCGGCGCTCATCATTACGTGACGATGAAACTCGTGTCATGTAACTTCTTGTTTTGGCGCGCTCAGCTGATTCCCTTTCTCCGGGGTCAAGAATTGCTAGGCTTTGTTGACGGCTCTCTTCCGTGTCCACCGGAGACCGTCACAGCTGCTCCACCATCGGAGGGGTCGTCGGCAGGCACCACCACGGCGACCATCATCCCCAATCCAGAACACCGTGCATGGGTGAAACAGGATCAGTTGATCCTGTTTCTCCTGATTTCATCCATGTCGGATGAAGTGCTACATTTAGCGCTTGGCCGAGCCACATCGGCGGAAATTTGGCAATCCATCACCTCCGCACTCGGATCCTCGAGCCAAGCCCGTTGTCTCAACCTTCTTGGGCAATTCCAGCTGCTCCGTCAGGGCAACTCCATGACTGCAAACTATCTCAGTCGAGCCGGGGTTCTCGTCGAGGCTTTAGCCCAGGCCGGTAGGACTCTCTCTCTAATGGAGCAAAATTTGTACGTGCTTCGTGGGCTCCAACCGGAACTGAAGGCCATGGCAGCGTCTTTCACCGCCGGGAATGCCGTGCCGCTATCACACCTCTCCGATTACCTCCAGGCGCATGAATTCATCCTTGTGGATGACTACCCCACCGGCGACTCCACTGCTTCACATTCGGCGTTTTATGCAGGCCCTGGTCGCGGCTCATCCAGAAAGCTATTCTCTAATCCCTTTGATATATGATTCTGTGTTTGAGTCTGATAGAGCTTTGCCTAGGGTTTATATTGTGTTTATGTGATAATCTTGATGTTCTTGATACTATGATTGATCATACGAATGATCTTGTGTTTTGATTATGTCTAGAGCCCTAGGGTTTATATCGTGAATTTCGTATTATGGTGTTCTTGGTGTATTTGGGTGGGTTTATGCATGATCGGGTGTTGAGTCTAGCCTAAGACTTGTGTTTAGGACTTTGCATGTAGATATCTTGATATTCTTGTGGTTCCGGATGCTCCTGAACCGTTATATGATTTATGATTGGTCTTGGTATGTTTAGGAGTCGTGTTAGGATGTATTTGGTGTGATTCTTGGTTTAATTCTGTTAATAGGATACGTGGTGTTGTCATTATTTGTTTGGACATGGTTTCGGGTTCCACGAGAGATCCCGGGATCGAAAGTTGCCTGTGAGTCAGTGGGGGGTAGGTGGGGGGGGGGGGCTGTTCACCCGCCACCTACCCGCTGCCCATATCATTGTTCCAGCGGGCAGCCGGCGGGCGGTGGTGTGCCCGCCAGCCACCCGCTGGAATGGCGAGTGACTACTGGTGGGTGGTTGGCAGGTGGTCACCCAACCGCCACCTACCCGCCGGAAATCGGTCGGGGTTCATGATGTTTTCCCCTGTTTGGTGTTTCCTCGTGTCTCGTTGTGTCTCGTTGTACCCCGTTTGTCGTGTATCAGTCTCATTTGGTGTTTTAGGTATTGTTCTAGGAATTTATGTGTAATACGTGTCGTTGTTGTTGTGTCTTGATTGTTATTTGATTATGTGTTAATTGATTGAATGGTGATGAGTATCGTAGTCATTGCGCAATGGCCGATGTGAATGATGATGATGATGAGATTGTGATTGGTGGAAAAGAATTGTTGGCGGTGCGGATCACCACTTGTGCCCGGTCATTGTACTATAGGTACAGGCCATAATGGTGACTGTGCTAAAGGCACACACCCACCTTAGACTTGCTTGCCGTGAGCATGGGTCAGGTTATAAGTGCTGCGGTGTCATGTTAGAGCTATATGCGCTAACCCCTTGATAGTGGCATTAGAGGTGCGGATCATTGAAAGGCACTGCGGCACCATCTTGATATGTTGGTGGTTGATAGGTGGTTCGTCGGTGGGGGCATGTTGTTGCCCGGAGACATAAGGGGTGGTGATATAAGGGTGGCCTGGAGGTATAGGTTGGAACCGATATAAGAACGGAGGGGAACTACAAGGTTGGAACTTGGTATAAGGTTGGAGGATGAATTGTGTGCTTTGATAACTACTTGCTAATTGATTGTATTGAATGCCTTGGTTGCCTCTACTTGTTATTTGTTTGCTTATCAGCCTGTCATGTCTTGTATTGCATGCTTAGGATGCCTGTTAGTTCTTATGATTATTCTATGATGTGGAGTTTGTTATTATGTCTTGAGTCTTGATCTTGGATTTAAACTAAAGTCTCTCGTAAGTATATATGTATTCCAGTTTCAAAATGAGTTTCTTATATCTACCTATATTGTACTTAACGCGTTGGAGTGGGTTACCATCATTTTTCGCTGACGGTTGTTACACCAAATGTTTTTTCAGGGACCGCGAGTAGCTTCGGAGCGCGCAAGTTGGATTCGTGGACTTAGTTTAGATAATACTAGTCTTGATGAGATGGCCTGCGTGCCTTGATTTATATTTGGGTATTTGCTATGGTTTATGCTAGATAGTTAGTTTAGCCTGTGCATCTGAGTTCTTTAGCTCAGATGTGGCATAGCACCCCGACTACTGTGTATTAGTTTATGCTCTGTTTGGAAATCAATAATAGATTAGCCTTTATTTTATAGGTTTTAAACATCTCAAAATTTAGGGGTGTTACTGTTGGTATCAGAGTCTAAGTTCAACCCTAAGACAATTCTTTAGGATAAGACTTTGGTACATTAAGCTTGAACTCTAGGTACTTACATACTTGGGATGTTAAGAGTTAAACTTTAAGAATATAGGCTGCATCTAGGATAGTACTCTAAGTTTGAGACTTTAAGATGTTACGCCGTAACTCTAAGTGCTTAAGTACTTAGGACTTAAGAATCTTAGGACGCGCGGTGAGGCTGTGAGCTTATCTATCATTGTCTTCTTAACTTCTCCTCACTCTATCATGTGCTTAGCTTAAGAGTTCCCCATAGTTATAGTATCAAGGTAAGGATGCGAACCACTAACTTACCATTACGATCGGTACAGATCCTATAAACACCGGAATGGCGCCAACGAGAAACCAGTCGAGAACCCCCGAGCCTCCTACCCAAGATTCGTTAACCCAGAACCTACAACAGCTGACTTAGGTCGCCCAGACGTTGAGCAATACCATCCTTAATAACAACAACCGACCACCCCCGAATGGAAACCCAGACGTGGCTCGCCAAGCCTCGAGCTATCGCTCACCAATCTTCGCAGGGGAAGAAGATCCTACGACCCTCAAGGAATGGATCTAAGCGTTCGACAAGATCTTTGAAGTAGTGGGATGCCGGGAAGGACGCCGTGTGGAACTAGCCTCGTTCTGCTTCGGAGATATAAGGCTGATCTTTGGTGGGTTCACGAGGGCCCTGCCTGCAGGCAAGAACCGGGATTCAACTAGGAAACCCTGAAAGCTCGGTTACGGGGACGTTTTACCCCACGCATGTAAGGGCAGCCATGTACGCAGACTTCCTCCACCTGAAACAGGGGATAACTACAGTGGTGGAATACCACAAACAATTCTTCGAACTAGCTCGTTTCGCACCTGAATTGGTACCCATAGAGGCGACTAAAGTAGAGAAGTTTGTGGCGGGTCTCAACTTCGAAGCTCGAAAGGCTCTAACCGTAAGTAAGCCCAGAACCCTCCACGAGACTTACGCTAGCGCCGCCAACCTTCATCGAATCCCAACCTCTACAACGGAGAGTTCAGGACCAGATCCGAAAAATGAGTAACGGAAATGAGAGACCACCTGTAAGGAGAACTAGAACGCCAATTAAATGTAAGAAAGTAAAGTAGCGCATGAACAACAGCTTTGCTTAATCTCTAGTGCGAGGTGAGTATATCATGTTGACTTATGAACCCTTTGTCTCAGCTTAAAATATCATTCGCCCTTGAATCCCAGCCTCTCGATATTCCTAATTGTTGAAACCCTTGCCTCGAATCCTTGGTTATCCTTGAAAGCAATTAAACACCCGTTATGCCTTTACTTACTCTTTGTTGCATCTAATTCATCCTTGGAAACCTTAAATCGTTATGAGCCTGGAATCATTGCCATTGCTCTAATTTTGTATCCCTCTCTTTAGAACCCTTGCTAAAATCCTACAAGTGGTGCAAACCCCCTTGCTTTGTCTAAATGGCGTGAAGATTGGTGCTTATTGGGTTGGTGTTAGGATAGTTGTTAAAGAGGACTCGGCGTGTTAAACAGAGACGGCGGACGCGTAGAAAGTTCCGTGCACTATGCTTCACTGCAATGAAGATCTTACTTTGGAATAAGGACCTTGATGGTTTTAAGGCACTGTAAGAAGTACATGCGACACACAAAATCGCCAAACGTCATGCGACGTCGAGAGCAGTTAACCAAATGCATTCCAATGAAGAGAAAGGTATCACTAAGCATTTGGTCGCTAAAGGATTAAATGGGACCGGACGACAAGCCAAACTTCATGAAAGACCAAAAGGGACTTGTCATTAACTAAGACAAGGAAAAGACAAAAGCTGGAGTACAGTCAGCTACCTTATGAAGATTCAAAGATTTATTAACTGTGAACAGGACTCCACCTATTGAGCAATTAAAGGCATGCGAGAATCCTTGGAGTAAGGGACCATGAATTGCCCTAAGGTGTTGACCTTGGTAAATGACCCGGGCCCACGTCTCATTCTAAAAAAGGTACTATTAATTGCGTTAGTTTTGAAAGTTACAGTTGAACCATACGATTCAACCAACTGTGAAGGGTTGACACAAAGAATCGTGCAAACCAAGAAGTCGAGTTGAGAACTCGTGCTACGGACCTACAAGGGTCTCAAGACAAACACCAAGGATGGACCGAGTTTTCCAAAACCATGGTTATCGTTCGAGTAGTCAAAGGGCCCCCTTACGAAGTTTTGTAAAGAGCAAGACTGCCGAAACCTATGGTGCACGCCTATTCCAGTCCTTAGCCCTTTTGTTTACCTCACTAAAGATCCCAGAATCCGTATAGAATAAACGAGACATCCTTTCGTCTAAGGAGAACAAAAGAAGACAATTAAAGACTAAGAAACATTCCTTATCGTAGATCCCGTGCGTCCATTCTAGAATCATACATTTAAGGGAAGTGTAAGGAACACTTTGTTATCAAGACCTCGATGACCTTAAAGATCAACGAGGAAATAGAACAGCTCATACGGATCACCAAGTCATCCCGTGATGAGAGTCAATAAATGACTGCGTTCCAAGAAAGAGAAAAGTATGTCAAGTGCTCTCAATACAAAAAAATATCACCAAAAGGGCGCAAAAAACCAAGTCTTGCTAAAAATTTCATCCACCAAGGAAGAGAAGGAATTCAATAAAACAAGGAAGTCAACCTGAAGTTCCTTGATCGTTAGAAAACCTCAGCAAGAATCGAGAGTCAAGACCTAAGGATTGGCCTTGCTGACCGACTAGGTCTAGACTTTTGAGCATTCTGGGGGAATATGCGCGGAATTCATCACGAGAATTCCTTAAAAAATGGTAAAGATGGATGAGGCTTTAGCTTGGGAAGAAAAGATCAATGAAAATCCTAGAGTCAATCGGTACCAAAGCTAAAGAAAGAGGATCATCAATTCGTCATTACGTCGGAATCGGGGCTTCAAGCCAGAATGGTCACTCAAATTTGAGAATCCTTAACCCTATTTTAGCTGAATTCTTCCCCTCCCTTGTCATTCAAATGCCACTTTGTTGAAGAAAACCCTTTCTACCCTTCCAAACTCATACTTGATTCCTTATTTCAAATGATTCCATACAAGGTAGCAACCTTATCA